CTCAGAAAATCACTCTTAAACTTTTGCAATGAGTTAAGCGTCCATGACCTCCACTTAAGTCGGCACGGAAAACGAATATTGCAACGTTGGATAAATCAAAATAGAAAATAAATTCCAGTATTTATCGCTAAACAAATGTTTGGTACAACACGGATTCTATACAGCAGACTGCCATATCGGTGGCAACCTCCGAAATCGTAAGAAAATAGCCTCAAAGCTGAGTTATCGATTTAAAGGATTTCGCATACTTTCCACTCAGTTAACAATTTTATAAACATTCTGTAAACTTCTGTCTAATTCACCTGCACAGATTCGCAGTAGGGCCAAGAGCAGAGTCGCCCCAGCAAGATGAACATCTGCCATGTTAAAAATTCCCTGAAATGTTTTCAAGTCTTCTGTTGATTTGCAAACAGGTATCAAGATTCGAAACGAATAGCTCTGGAGACGAAAAACTGGTTCGAAACCAGAAGGAGGCACGGCACCAACGCACAAGCTGTCAAGTTGCTGACGTTTTGAAACCGAAAGGGTCTGGACTTAGTTCGTGTCAAAATTGCATTATTAAATAGCGTGAATGACACAAGACTATGGCTACTGTTGCGTCTACGACATCGTTCATTCCTAAAGCATTGTCATACTGACAAATCTGCTGCTCGCATTGCTTAACAGTGAATTTGGTACATCTTAAGCGATTTTGTTCCCCCATTATTAAAGGGAGACTCAATTGGAACGTTTAAATGACCTTTTAAGGAACTCCAAGTGTCTGTCTCGTATGAAAAAATTCAGTTTCTTTCTTATATCGTCTAAACTCAGACGTCACCTATGGTTATTAATATGCTAACCAGAGAAAACAATGTCTGCTGAAACAAAGAGCTTCTATGTTTCAGTCTGGAAATTTTGGTGTTTCCAAACACATATCTTCCCTATATCATATTGAAATACGGGTTCCAGTTTTAAGGGCACCTTTAGTTCTTCTTTAACTATATTTATTGTGTCTTGTTTTATAAACAGCTTTGTTACACGCTTCAATTACAATTTCTCTAAATACTATTTATAGGCAAAATAAATTTCCAGTCGCACCTTTTCCGAGCTTTAAACCTTAGGTCTGGTCTACCCGTGCAATTTTTATGTGACAATTTTCACGGGGCAATTCTTGTATTTGCTCGTGTAGACGAGGGAAATTGGCCAAGCTGGCGCGTCAGCGTTTATGTGACAAATAAAAGTTGCCACATGTGCAAAATTGCTCGCGTAGATGACCCGTCACATAAAATGTGGCAAATATGTTCGTTAAAAGAATAAAACTACGACGTTTCGAAGTCATCTTGACTCAATTATCAAGTAGAGGTGTTAGCTGTAGTTTCGAGATTTCGAGATCTTGCGACTTGTGAAGACTGGTTGTAAGATCGAGGAAAAGGTTAAGATACAGGAAGAGAAACCTGCTTTAATCAACCATGAATGCGTTGTTTACAATTTCAAATGTGATTCGTGCGATGCGGATTATATTGCGCCATCCTCATCAACGCATAGAAGAGCATAAAGCCTCGGTCATTGGCAAGCATATGAAAGAAGTGCGCGGTGTAGCGTTCACTGACCTAGCGGAAATGTTTTCCGTTCTTAAGAAAT